ATATATATATATATATATTGCTCCCACTGGGAACAGCCTAAAATTACATGTCTACAAGTATTTACATGTTGCATTAAATGACAATTAAGCATTACATCTGCTATATGCTGACATATTCCCTGTCATCACTCACAACAGTTGTGTGTTAGCGTGGATGACCGGAGTGAATAACATACTAACATTAGCTGAGCAGAATGGAACGGTATGTTTTCTTTGGCACAATTCAATGTTGCTGCACTTCACTTGACTTGACTTGAACCTTTGAACCTTTTCTCTCTCTCCTGGTGAAGCACAGATCATCTTTTTTTTTTTTTTACCAGATAAGAAAACTTATAAATAAGCATCAACCCAGCCTGCAGTTTGCAATCAATTAATTTTGCAGTCAGAAGGAAACAATAAGAGCTGGCAGCTGTGTGTTTGTGCGGAATGCTTTTATACTGCTTAGAAACATTTTAATATGTTTACTCTTGAGGCCAAACAGAGCTGTATTAGCCATGCATATGGAAGAAGTGCATGTGTACTACGGCAGCATCATTAAAAACTACAAAATGCTATCTCCAGATTTGTGTGCTGTACATCCACATACCAGGGAGTATCCTCATGATTTGGAAATTGTAGCAGTGTTACCACAACTTTGGAATTAACACATGGCAGTTTTAGTGGTCGATTAGTGGAAATGATGCCAAATATACTCTTGTGTTTTTATTACCAACAATCCAGACAGTATTTCTGTTTGAAGATGGCTAGTACCTGTGTTTTCACACAATCAAACCCCTAAACTAAGGAAACTCTCGTCTGTGTGTTTTTCAAGCCTCACGTTGTATTTGGTGCAAAGTTCTCTGACTTTAGTCAGGTAACCCTGGTCGGGCACCACCACCCCAGCTTCACCCTGGATGGGCTCCACCATGAAAGCCGCAACATTTGGGTCTTGGAGAGCTTTCTGGACAAAAGACAGAAAAGAAAAAGACTAGTCAGACATTTTAATCTGTGTCTAAGATGACCCTTGTCATTAAATACATGCTACTCAATCATTACATTTTTACATTTACATAGAAAAGCAGCAGTGGCGACGATAATCTTATCAGCAGACACATGCAACTTCAGCCGGTCACTCGATCCTCATGTTTACACAGATAATGAGGGTATCCAGTCAGCTGGTTTTGGATTATCTTATAAAAAACACTGTTTTAAACAGAGATAATGCATGTTAATGTTGTCAAACAACATCAATCTTTGACTACAAGGCTGGGTAAAGTGCAAATCTTTTGACCAAAATCTATTTCCAGAACAGTAGCCTTTATAAACAGCAGATATAATTCTTCTCTGTCCTCCAGGTTAGTCTTGCCAGGAAAAAACATTGTGAGAGAAATGCAATTTGGCAGGTCCTGAATGTTGGATCCTTCCACCAGCACATTAACAGTGAATGCAAGTATGATGAAACTGTTGCCGCTTCTGACATCAGTGTTTCTCTACAACCCCAATAACAAAGTCAACCATGTATCTTGCAAATAAGATCAAAACTTTTGCTGTTAGTGCATTTAAGTATTTTATGTATAAAAAGGGACCAAAGTCTGGTGTGCAGTGACTGAAACATAAACTTCCTCCTATAATTTGGGCATTTTACAAGGCAGCTGGGTTGAACCAAGGCTGAAGAAACATTACCACACATTAGCTGCGGGTGACAGTATGAAACTCAAAAGTGTCATTCCGGTGTACCGTCTGAAATACTGAAACAAATTTAAAAAAAACAAAAGAAACATGGTTGATACTGCACTGCATGTCTTGAAGATAGTCAAAAGCTGTACCTCCAGTGCAGGAATGTCATTGTATGGGACAAGCTCAAAGCCTGGCATGTAGGGACCGAAGCCTTCGTAGCTACTAGGGTCCGTGGAGCTGGAGATGGCTGCCATGGTGCGGCCCCAGAAGTTTCCCTCTAATCAACAACAGTGAAAGAGATGACACATTTATCATATTGTTCTGACTAAACATTTTTATATGCTGCAGGACATTTGAAAACCTTTGATGGTCACCTTATCCTACTGTCTGTCAAGAGGATTGGTGCTTATGCTAAGTTTGGTAATCTTAGCCTGTCGTACAATCCAAACAAGAATCATTGCACAATAGTTTAGTACAATATGTGTCAAATGTGCAAACTATTACCAATTCCTTTATACGACAGAGTAAAGGTGACAAATGGGACAAAGTCTGAAATTGTGATGTAATCTTACCTGCAAAAATGATTTTGGCCTTGTTTTTGGGAACCCCCTTCACACTGTAAGCCCACTTACGAGCAAGCTTGCAGGCAGTCTCACCACCTTCAACGCCTAATACGTTACAAAAATAAATAAACGGCAACAAATAAACTCATGATAACCTCTGAAGATGTTACGATTACAAAATGAGTTGGAGGTTTGCCTACAGTACCTGTATTCATGGGTAACACTTTGTCATAGCCAAACATGCGGGTGATGTATTCCTCATAGGCTCCCAGCACATCGTTGTAAAATGCTCTGGAAGTCAGGCTGAGTTTGGAGGCCTGGGCGCTGAGCGCAGCTACAATCTTTGGGTGACAGTGACCCTGGTTTACTGCACTGTAAGCACTCAGGAAGTCGTAATACCGGTTGCCCTCCACATCCCACACATGTATGCCTGAAGAAAACAAAAGAAGAAAATAAATGTCTCGGAAACTCTTGGATAATTATTAAATGTGGGATTTGTAACATTTCGAGGAAAATGAACTCACCCTCGCCCCTCTCTAAGGCCACAGGCAGGGGATGGTAGTTGTGCGCCCCATACTTGTCCTCACGGGCGTAGATTTCCTCTGAGGTGAGCGGGCGTTCGGACCTCAGTTTGGAGGCGGCGGTGGAGGCCGGGCGCGTACCAGAGTGGATGCTGCGATTGAGAACAGGGGCGGCGCGGCTAAGGCTGCGGCTGAGCTGGAGCATCATTCCTTTCATGGTTCTATGTTGCTATTTCTAGATGTTAAAGCACACAAAAAAGAAAGAGATTCAGTTCCTTTGCTCCAAGTAACATGTACAGTAAATCTATCAATGTAACCACAACACATTTTAAGTTTAAGAATGCATTAAACATGGATTAATTAAGAAAAGAATCGTCAAATTAACTGAAAATGAACCTAAGTTTCAGCCCTAGCAGGTTCACAGCTATGCAATAAGCTTAACACTTCCAGTAAATGTTGAAACAGAAGTTCATAATTGTTTGGTCTATGTCAGAAATGTCCGAAAATAGTGAAAAATGTCAAACCCAGTTTCTCCAAGTTCAAAGTACAGAGAAAAACACCATTCTTCCCAACAATTAATCAGTTCTAAAAAAGTTTTTCTGTCAATCGACTGTTTATCGATTAGTCGACTAATCCTTGCCGCTCAAGAAGACATACTGCCACAGCAACAGTCGTAGCACAAACACAATAAACTTGTTAATTCTGCTCGTACCCCTCACATATAACAATATAAAACAAAGAATCGGCCCTAAAAACCTCACGGTAGCTACAAAGGTTGAATACTAATACGCTTGTGAGATTCCATAGTGCACATAGGCTTTACAGGTCTGCTGAACAACGCTTCTCTTTCACACTGGACACAATAGAGGAACAGACCTTTGCTGGGTATGGGTTGACAAAAAGCTAATCCCACAGCAGCATGGCAACTCAACTGTGATGATCCAGAGCTTTCTATTGGGTCACATTTATTTTAAATGTCCTTCTCGCTGTTAGCTGGTCCTGTGACATGCACTACTTTTCTTGCATTGGTTTTGGAATTCATGGCGTGGCACTGAATAGTTTTGAGATGCCTCACACCATGTTTCACTGGACTATTAACAGAGGCTAATTCCATGCAAAATGATAAGAACAGTACAGCAATTTTCCAGAAAGGACATACTGAATGTGAAAATGAGAGTAGTTGCCAGTAGTTGGCTCCAGATAATCAATAACCTTGCACAGTGAATAAATACACAGAGCAAACAGACAGCACCTGGACTGGTTACATCAAGGTCAGTTATCCGTGTCACTGATTGTGTAAAACCTGCTCTTGAGAGATGATAGGTTGGCGCGGAGCTGCCTCCACAACACACCCATCTACATTCCAGCCAGGAGCTAAATAAAGACCATAACTATCCGCTCCTATCATGTGGTTAGTCGTTGCCAACTAAGCAGCCCTCCCAAACCTTTCTGTATTAGAAAAGTACAATACAAGCTCTATATTTATGACACTTACAGGCCAGTCGACATTAATAAATACATGTTTCTTATCCCCCCAAAGAGTATAGACGCTTTTAAGATCAACGCTTTTAGTTAACATAGCACCGGCCAGCTAGCTAACATTAGCACGTTACCTGCTTTTTCAGTATTTATTTACTTTTTTTTTTTTTTTTTGCCTGCCAACCCCTACATTATCAAACAAGCGTTCTCAAGCGGAGAGAGGAGACAGACTGGAAGAAAGTCCAACAATAACGTTACCAGACAGAAGAGAAGCGAAGTTAAACCGACGATGATGCTCGTCTGAAATTTGAAGCGGCTGGCTTTATGTGACAGTCTAGCGTGGCGTGTCTGTGCGTACTTACGTCAGAGGACACGCCTCCGTGTTGCAACTTTTTCCGGTAATTGCCCCCCCAAAAAAATATAGATAAATATAGATATATGGTGGGAAAAAACTGGGCTGTAAGTATGATAACTATGAGTACACAGCGTGCCGTACACGTTACAATATCAATGAGCAGGAGGGTGAATCCCACCGCCTCGCGTTAGGCGCATGCGCATTGAGACGTACTGTTTCGCCATGGCTGACAGTGGCTGGCCGGGCTGTGCGAAGAGTTTGAAAGGTGTCATATTGGACATGTGTGGCGTTTTATACGACAGCGGGGAGGGCGACGGGGTTGCCATTCCCGGCTCTATTGAAGCTGTGAAAAAGTGAGTGAGCTATTAGATATTTTTAAGAGGTTTTTTTTTTTTAAGCCACTTGCATGTTCAGCGTACTGCCTGTCAAAGCCTGTGGAGCAAAGTGCATGCACTCGGTTAGTCACTGTGCTGGTAACTTATTGCAGTTCCTTGTGGTGCATGTATGGTTAAAGCTGCATATTTTATCATTGTGAGAGAGCTGTCATGCTCCTCCCTCACTCTGACCTCCTGATCCTTTTAAAAGGCTAAAGGCGTCCGACCTGCTGCTCCGCTTCTGCACTAATGAGACCCAGGCCACCAGAGAGACGTTTGTAGCCAAGCTCCAAAGACTGGGCTTTGACATATCCGTGTCTGAGGTGTTCTCTCCGGCTCCTGCAGCCGTAGCTGTCCTTAAAGAGAGGGGTCTCCGGCCCCACCTGCTGGTGTATGATGGTAATGCTTTAAAATTGTCAAGACATATCATAATACACAGTGCATATAAAAGTAATAATCAGTTGGGTGACATTTTTATCCACTTAAAGCAGAGTTTTCAGGGCACTTGTTCACTTGTCACCAATGGCAAATAACTGTTAATGCAAACTTTTAGGATCAAGAATCTGTTAAAACAAACTCTTCAAACGTTCACATTTTTAACATCAACATAAAGTCCACAGAACTTGTGTTACAGGATAAGGCTGCTGATATATTTGTCCACAAATCCCATAAAAATACCAAAACCAACTGCTTCCTACTAAAATGTAAATCTAATCATAACCATAACTTATTCTTTATATCAGTGGTTTATCAATCTGGGGGTCGGGATCCCCACTAGGGGTTGCCGTACCTTCACGGTGGGGTCGTGTGGCCCTCTTGATTTTAAGGATTGGATCTTAAAAACTTTGAAAATATAGATAGTAGGCCTATATCTCAGCCTTTTGTTCAGTTCTTTAAAGAAAGGTAAATGGAAATTGTTATTTTTCTTAATTTCAGATTATTATTAAGATCAACCTGAACACAAGATATAGTAATCACAGAGAATTCACTCTCTGATAAACAGCCTCGTCCTGCATTAGAAAAGTTCAAACTACCAAAGAGCTAATAGAACGATGAGAAGAAAACACTGAATTTTTATGCATGATTGTTTAAAAAGATTTTTTTTTTTAATGTTTAATATAATCAGAGAATTGTATAAAAAGTTCCCTAAACAGGAAATAATCTGCTCAGTATTTATCCAAATCATGTGTTTTAAACAAACGTCTCGTAGTTACTGAGTTTACTATTTGGGTTTATTGTACAGTTTTGAATATAATCTGATAATATAATGAAATATGTCCCAATCCAGCTCCACCAACAGACTCAAAAACTCTCTCGTCCCCCTGGCCATCAGACTGTACAACAGCTCTCAGTAAAGGCAGGGAGGACAATTAGACAATAGACAGATAGACAATGGACAATTTCTACCTGTATTCTGCACATCCATTTTGCACTGTTTACTTCCATTGCATCCACGCCATTGCACATCCATTTTGCACTGTTACTTCCATTTGCACTCCCACGCCATTTGCACATCCATTTGCACTGTTTACTTCCATTTGCACTCCACTCCATTGCACATTCCATTTGCACTGTTTACTTCCCATTTGCCTCCACTCCATTTGCACTGTTTACTGTTTGCAATGTTAACTGTAGCTACTGTTAGATCCGGGTTTTTAATTTTAGTTTAATGTATGTTTAATGTATTGTTTTGTATTTTGTATGCTACTGGGATGCTTGAATTTCCTCCGGGATAAATAAAATATCTATCTATCTATCTATCTATCTATCTATCTATCTATCTATCTATCTATCTATCTATCTATCTATCTATCCATAAAATATATTACTTAGTATTTCATGTCAGTTTACTAAATGATAGAAAATTGTTGGGAACCGCTGTTTTATATGACCCAACCCTAAAAAGTATTAAACTGCGTGTTTACTCTTCTGCAGGACTTATCCCTGAGTTTGACAGCGTTGACAAGGCCAACCCAAACTGCGTGGTGATTGGAGACGCAGCTGAAAAATTTTCCTACCAGAACCTGAATGAGGCATTCAGTGTCCTTATAGGCTTGGAGAAACCAGTGCTGTTCTCTCTGGGCCAAGGGTGAGAGGATATTAAAAGTTAGTAGTCAGTAGTACTGGATTGCTTATTCCAAGTGACAAGCACAGCGTGAAATATTTAATAAATAAATAAATATAAATGTTTTGGATGTTTTGCTCTCTTCATAAGGAGATACTACAAGGAGACAGATGGCTTGAAACTGGATGTCGGGGTTTACATGAAAGCTCTGGAGGTACAGTAGGTTCATCATTTGCATTGATAGAATTGTTAAGAATTGATAACAGCACTTCTGCTCATGTGAACAATGACTCATTTTTGTTTTGTTCCCCCAGTATGCTTGTGATTTAAAGGCTGAGGTTATTGGAAAACCATCCCCAACATTCTTCCAGAGTGTTCTCAATGACATGGGGCTTCAACCACATGAGGTACGTTAACAACAGAATATACTGCATGTATCCAGAATGCAAGTAAGTGTAATGTTGTGCAAGAACACAGGCTCTTGCTTCAGTTCTTTGATCTAGGCTAAAATGCTAAATATTTAGCTTTGCTGGGGGGGATTCCTCTATGCTTTGACTCTGTTCTGACCTTTGACTGGATTGGTATGTAAGTCAGTCAACTCAGAACTGCAGTGATTAGTTTTCAATAGGCCAGTTTATATAGATGATATGCACTTTATGTCGCTGTACTCGGTAGTTGCAGTGGTCACTTCCCTCTGGGTGGCAAAGCTGCAGCAGTCAGCATCTGCAATTGATTGCAAAAACAGTTTCAGAATGAATTCAATTTACAGGCATGGGATTTGAAGTGCTAACCAAACAAATATACCATAAAGGTTTTGTGACTAATATTTTTTCCAATCCTCCCACATACAAAAAGAACAATCTTGTGATCTTAATCAGGAATACAAATACTCCTTTAATGTGCCTAAATTCCTGCAGGCTTTGTTATGTTATTTCCTTGTGTAGAGGCACAGATATACAGTATATACTTACATGTGTCAGAAAACAAAATTTCTTCTTTGCAGATTATTGTTTCAAGATATTTATTAGTTTTCCTGCCGGTTTTGTACGCCATTCGTAGCACCCACCTGTTTATGTGTTTTGCCACATACTGTAGGTACAGATACGCTATAGTGCTAAGCTATTAACACTCCACACACCTTTCCAAGAGAGGTGCAGGCATTCCACAACTAATTACTTGAACACACCTCCTAATTGTTAGTTTGATATATTTAGCCAAGGCAGCTGGAATAGGAAGATTCTGACACACGATCCATGCTGGATCCTATCACAGAGCAAAGCCAGGACGCTTCCTGTTCCTGACAACTCTTTTTCTCATCAGGTGTCTAAACATGTGTTAAATGTCTATTCCTGGCATCTGCTCATCTCTGCATATCCCAAGTCTAAAGACTGTGCTCTATCACTGCAGTCTCTCTAAGCTTTTCTATGTTTGGACCTGGCAGTTGGCACTCTGAGAAATCTGGTTTCATCTCAGTCTAAGCCTCACTCTTTTCTCTGGATTGTCATTTCTTTCACTGAGACATAGATATATCCACAGCTACATCCGCTGCCCTTTCCAGAGTCATCAGTTACTCACCCAGGCTTTCATGCGAAGAAGCTTTCTCTTCCCAGAATGGAAATTTTTTGTCCGTTAAGTCACTCACTTGGCTTGGTAGTCAAAATGAAACCTTTCCCTTCCTGCAGACCAGTGTCATTCCTTTACCAAACTCTTGAGAACACCTCAGTTCATAGTGGTTATCTCCAGGCGTGATCAACTCCCACCGCACTAACCTCCTTGCATTACTAAATAATGCATTGTGTCCTTAAGCTCCTTTTTAGTATCCCAGTTCACTAGAACCCTAATAATGCTTTGTTTTTCTCGTGCTGTTATTTTGAATCACAGACAAGCCTGGTGTGAAAATATCTTTAGGATCTTGCTGGTTCTTCTTTTTTCCTCTCTTCACCCTGTCTGCCACTTATTGCCCATTACAATTTATTCCAGAAAATAACATTTTTCACACTAATAGACAATGGTGCAAACTCGGGCTTGTGTAACAACAAGCCTGGTCAGGGAAGAGGATAGTTGAGACGTTATAAAAAAGAAACATGAGAAGGGAGGGCAAGCTGAAATGGATCTGCCAAGTGCTGATGATGCTGAGGTAGGAAGCAGAAACAACAAGGGAGGAGAACTGGCATTATTGAAATAAAGAGGCTCCTAAACTAAATTACAATGTTTTCTTTGTCCTCGTCTCTTGCAGGCACTGATGATTGGGGATGATCTGGTGAATGATGTAGGTGGGGCACAACACTGTGGAATGAAAGGCGTGCAAGTCAGGACTGGCAAATACAGGTCAGTGATGTCCTGAATCCACCAAATGCTCTCCTTGATACAATCTACCAAACCTGAACATGACTCCTTATTGGCAACAGGTGTCCCTACTGGTTAGTCAAACTATCCTTTAACCATGTCAGAGCATGCCCTTCTGAAGTATCCTTGAGCAAGATACCGGCTCCTACCAGCTTTGTTTTTAGAACATTTGGGCACTTTTGAAGAGATGTAACATTTTCTATAAATTTTGAAGCTGGTCTTACCATATTGTAAAATCATAATTAAAAAATCTAACTATTTGCCAGCAGAGGGCACCCTTACACCAACATTGTGAATCGAAGTTTCCTCCATAACACACAGGCTTTCTGTGAGCCAACCCCCTCATTCTTCAGTCTTCCAGATTTGTTTATTTTATTGAGAATCCCCCGAAAATAGCTTTATTCCCTCCACATGTTGAATGTTAGTTGCCCACAAGGTCATAGTCAGCAAGGATTTATGATCCCAAATCTGGAGATTACTGGGGTGCCTTTCATATGTTGTAATTACAGAAACATGTGGTTGATTATTTTAGATGATATATGTGGTACTTATGTCTTGAAGAAACGGGTGACTGGGAAAAAGTGACTGGGAGTATGAGGGGACACTGTTATGAAACTACACATTATATCACATATATGTTTTACATTATAATGTATGTTCAAAGTCATACTGTAACTGACGTTTTTAATGTTTTTTCTGTATGTAATAAGACATAAGCCCTAGGTTTTATACGTGTACTTAAAAAATATTTATGGAAAAGAAAGAGGAGTTCTCAACATTTGATTTCCTGAAAACCTATATTTTTCTCATTTCAAACATAGCACAATTACTGTGAAGCAGTGGTGGAACAAGTATTCAGCTCCTTTACTTAAGTAGAAGGATCTACAGACTGAGCCCATTAATGTTGTTACACACTACTACACTGTACTGCTTTGTAATTTTAGGTACAACAATGTACTGCATTCATATTATCTGACGTTGTCGTGTGTAACATATAAAAAAACTAAACTCATAACTTAAGCTGCCAAATACACAAGGGGTGCAATATTATTGTCTAAAATGTTGTGGTTGCACAAATGGAAATACTTGTACACGCACCTCAGAATCGAGCACTACCTAACAGAGCAGTACCAAATAAATCCACTTCGTTACTTTAACATTGGAGGAAATTAAACCTCTTCGCTGATATTGTTACTATTTTCTTTGGCTGTAAGCCACTGATTAGTCTGAAGAGCACCGTGCTTGATGACCTGCTATTCTGCCGCAGTGGCACGCATGTCTCGGGTCATGTGACCAGAGAACGCTGAGTAATCTGCTTGAGCATCAGTCAGCTTTAATCCAATACAAAGAGCACCGTCACTCACTATAAAACCTATCCTCTGTGTGACAGGAGTATGTTAGTGTGTTTTTTGTTCTTTTAACTTATGTTGTTGGCATATACATGCAAGCAATATGCAGGCTTTCAGTATAGGAGACTAAACTCCTGAAATCCATCAGGTTTAAGTGACTTCACAATCTTCTCCCAGCAGCTCTGTTCAGCTCCAGTGTGCAGACACAATATCTGATATAGTCAACTAAACACAGGAAAACCAGAACTTTTTTTTTGAAGGAGAGAGCAACTGGTAAAATAAATGTGTGTTTCCTTGAGAGGAACATATGTGGAACCAGTATTGTGTTACATGACATGATGTGTTTTAGCCATGGTGGTCTAGATGTACGAACTGATTGGTGAATGGAGTTTTACCTGGTAAAACATGCAATAGGCAGGCAATACAGCAAGTTATTACGTAAGTGGTTAAATAATGTTTTCAGAACAATAATGTATATTAATAATGTTTTCTCTTACATTTAGTCACATTGCAGCACAAGATTACAAATTTGTACCACAAATAAATAGCCTTTTGATATTAGATGCTGGTTGAAAAAGCTGTGTATGTTTTGAATTTATTCCTACATCACCTGCTTTGAATAATTGATGCATCGTGTTTGTGTGTGCATAGTAACAGTAGATACTTGTATTTGTGTATCTGAAACACAGCCATAACAGGAAGTTAGATTTGTGCATCAAATTAGAATTTATGACTCTAAAGTGATCTGTCATGTACTCATTTAACATCCCCAGATGTATTAGACTGTATGCATTCCCTGGGAGGAAGAAGAAAAACAGCGACAGTAACAGTGTTTCTGTAAGACTGTGAGAGAGGAGAAGACGTGAGATTTAAGATTTTTTGGCCAAACAGGCGCAGTGAACCCAGGCTTGCTGGGAGCAGCTATAAACCCTCAGTCAGATCTGTGAAAACACAGCTGTTTCCAAGTCAACCAGATGCTGCACAGGCCTCAAGCTTGGAGAAAAGACTGCTTCAAATACCCCAGGCCCAGTGACAAGACAGGAAGGGAAAAAGATACAAATCACAGACAAATCTAATCATATCAGCGAATTTTAAAAAGCTTATGACATACTGCTGCTCAACAAGGACAGCATAAAACCTGAAATTCTTTAAGCCTAATTTAGATCTGTCAGACTTTTTTGTTTTCTTACTGTCTCCACAGTAAGCTCTTATTAAAACAGATGATTCGAGGTAAATCTTCACATGCTTTGAAGTGAATTTATCAACCTGTTGGCTACCTGTCTGTGGGTTGCTTTGACCCCCTTTCTGTTTGTTCTTACTCTTTCTTGTTCAACCATTTTTGCTATCATGCTTTGTCTGCATATTTGTGTGTCTGTAGAGATTTGTATGTACTATATAAGAATACTATTTGTATAAAAAGACATTATAAAAAAGAGAAAAGGCTAGAAATACAATATTTTAGTATGTCGAGTTTAAGTATTTATTATCTTAATCATGTACAGTAAGAAGGTTTCACATGTACCTGCTCTCTGCACTTTTTCATGTGATGCACAGTGCTTATTATTGTGATGGCTCCAGCAGATTAAAATAAAGAGCAAGGCCTGAGCGAAGTGATATTATAGTGCATACCAGAAATGGCTCGAGCCTATAGGCGTAATATAGGGGTAATTGTAATAGGGGAGTGCTGTGCAATCAGTCAACTTTCCCTTGCTCTTAAATAATGAGCGAAAGTTAGTGCACTTCTCTCGGGGGAGCCAGAGAACCCTTTGCTCTTTAATGTAGAACAGGTTTGAAAAGAGGGGCCTTCACCAAAAAGTGGTTGGAAATTAGACCGGGAGTATGGAGATCTTACTGCTGATGTTAATCAGCTGCATGGGAACAATCTGCAGACACTGCGTTCTAGTCCAACCCCTACTCAGCCTTTCAGCACAGAAAAACCAAGAAAGGGTGTCAACTTTCCACAGGTATCACACTATGTAGAACAATCCCCGGCCCTGCACAGAACTGCACTTAATTTGAATGGGCAAATTGCTATGATTCTGGCAGAGCAGTGAAATTATGAGTATGCCGGCCTTGTTTTCTCTGTCCTGTGGCTCAGTCTTCTATGTTGTGTTTTTAAATAGTCATCTCCTGCGGTCTGTGGCCTCAACTGGTCCTGTGTTCTTCTTTGTGTTCTCTTATCTTCAAGGAACTGCATCAGCACAGAACTGGGTAGCTTTGAGGCTTCATGAAAGCAGGTTCACATCATGCTGTTCCTTCATGCACTGTTTGTAAAGCAGTTTAATTGCTACTGCAAGCCGACACAATTAGTCTGTGAACCTTTTGGTCTTGGCATGCTGTCTGTCCCCCTGTGTATCCGTGATAATCAAAGAAGATTTCAGACCTTTGCTTTAAACACACACCCTCGGTATTGACATTTGTAATTCTGCCGAGGAGAAAACAGTGTAGTGATGTGACAGATACCAACATAGTATTGATAGGTATTTTGAATGAGGGCCAGTGAGTTAGAGGAAGCCCTTACTGGATTCCCGTTGGAATCTGGCAGAGAGTGCACAGCAAACATTTTCACACAGCAGCAACCATCTTCAAAATGGTTTACATTGTAAACCTCTCCCTGTGGCCAACGCTTGACTGCTAAAGTGAGTGTTGGGAAACTGTTTTCCATGCAGGCCGAGCCAGATTAAACGTCTCCAGAGAGACTCGGTCCCTGATGATAGAAACTATGAACCAGTTTGCCGAAACCGCACCCTAGTTCGTGCCCTTTCTGTCTGTGGCCGTCACTAAGGGACGCTAACAGGAAGAGAGCATTGCAGGGGGGTTAGTAGCCATGTAGACTCATTTTCCTTCAGTATTTTTTCTGTGCTGCGGGTGGGTTGAACTGCTACAGGCAATTTACAAAACCAAACATGCTAACGTTAGGATGCTTATTAGAGAACACGCCAACATGCTGAGTGTAGTGTAATGTTGCATTTAATGCCATGTTGGCAGAATGGAAAGAACAGGAAAACTTCATATTATTTAGATGCAAAATACCTCAATTGCTAGCCTTGTAGTCACATCAGACAAATGTAGGCTAAGCTCAAATTAGCAATTTCATGTAAAGGTGTTTTTATAACAAGTATAACCAAAGACAAACAAGCAATAGCTCCTTTTTAATTACATGAATTGATGGTATAAGTGTTAATCAGCCGAGTCTGACGAGATACAGCCTAGCCTGACAGTGTAAAGCTCAGTCTAAAAACAGTTTTTAAATGGCCACCGTACAGAGGACAAACAACAACAGTATAATGTATAATGAGCATTACAGCCACACACTGTCACTACCATGTTTATAGGTTAGTGTTGACTATTTTGTTTTATGACTGCTGTAAAGTGTGTAACATGTAGTATAAACTACAGTGGTTAGCACACGCCTTATCATGAGGCTGTTATACTCATGCAAAAACACACATATGCACTCATGCAGTATCTTGCACTGAAGAACATTAGTTAGAACACACAGTTCTCACCAGATGGTCGGTATGCAAATATTCATAGCTATCACTGTAACTGCTACTCCTGTAATCAGAGTCATTAGAACCAGCAGGCCTGAGACGGATATGGAATGAGAGTCAAAAGGATGTGGTTTGATGC